TGTACAAGCATATTAAAAATGCAACTTTTGTTCTTTAAATATTCGTGACTATGCTTGTCATAAAAGGCGACTAACGGGATCGGGTTGTCAGGCTCGCTGACTTTGTTGATGCATGTCATCGATCCCAATTGCGTGGATCGATGCTCATGACATTAATCACTGGATTGTCTGGTCCAGACTCGATTATTTACAGACCGCCGTCATATAGCTGTAATATTGCTGAGTGCGGCGTTAAAAAACCAACCAACCAACCAACCAATCTTTAAATATTCTGCTATGTACCATATGGGAATACGATATTGGCACAGTTATAATGGGCTTTGATTATGTATTTCTTCAAGATATGCCGAAAAAGAAATGAAAGCATATTTAATTCACACTTAAGATTACCTAAATCAACATAAATAGTGATTAAAATATAGTTATGTATTTTAGAGATGTAGCGTTATGTCAAACATACCAAAACTTTAATTGTTCATAGTTTATTTAGGTTGTGAACACTATATTGTATATTATACTAGAGTTTAATTCCTCCATGGTGGCCATAATGGATTTGGCGGCCATATTGTATTTGTTTGGGTGGCCCCATATTTGAAAATATTTGGAATGTCATTACCTACAACTTTGCCAAGTTTCATGCCTTTATCACAAAGTGCACAATTTTTCACGAGAGGGTTGCACACCTACCGCAATGTGGTGTTTGAAGTGATGAACGCGTTGTTGGAGCGACCAGCTTGCGCCATCTACCGATAAAGGTGTGGCCAGGCTGCGCCATCTACCGGTACCAGGACGTGACCAGCATGCGCAATCTAGCGGTACCAAACTGTGGCCAGACTGCGCCATCTACCGGTTTCCAGTGTGTGACCAAATTGCGCCATCTAGCGGTACATAAGTGTGGCAAGACTGCGCCATCTACCGGTTTTGAGGGTGTGACTAAATTGCGCCATCACCGGAACATGTGTGACTAGCTTTGGCAATGTACTGGTCTACCGCACATGCTTAATATGTAGTCGGGTTCGTATAATGCACTCTGTTTTTATCAGCGATTTCTTATGATTATCGATTGTCGCTTTAATGTATTGAGTATTTGATGTGCGTAAATTTCATTTCTTTGTTAAGGGTTTCCGTGAGTTTGTGTCTTTCTGAAGTGCCCTAAAGGGAAACAAAGACCTGTGTTATTCCATGGACAAATGACAGAGTATTTGAGGAAACAACCTCTCTGCCTTCCTCCCAGAACAGTGTCGAGGTTGGATTATCGCCATAAATCAAACACCCGTTGAAAGAAAAGAAACACATTTTAACTTCTGTAATTGACAGCGGACGTCAACGCGCCATTGTTGGTTACACGTTTATCTCGGATGAAGTGTCTGTCGAGGATGGGGTTCCACTTGAGCCAGACACACATAACAAGATATCCTATAGTGGCTCCATTGAGAGGGCGGCAGACAAACCCGGCAAGCGTGGGATTGAGACAGCACAGAGCCTCGGAGGTTGACTCACAAGTCCACAGCGGCTGTGTTCAATAGTTAGATTATCTTCCTGAGGAAAGGGTGTTAACTAACTATAAAAGTCCAGTTTTCACCCTTCCCGAACTAGGCTGGAAATCCGGAGTTACATTTTGGCTGGGCTAACGAGTCTATGCATAATCCAATCAAAATCGAGTAACGAACTAGACATCCGGTTCGTAAACAACATGAATTTAAACGTGCAGATTTCGGTCGACTGCAGGGTTTGCAAAGCATGTGTAACGCCAACTGGGGATAGACATGTTGCAAATCATTCCATGTTTTTAATGAAGGTGCTCAAGTGATCCGTTTTATTATAATATAGATCTTTATTATCGATCATAGGTTCCGTTCCACAAAGCGCTCGAACAGCTACGACTGTCGTAAGCCTATGTTAAAGAATGGGAGTTACGATCATCTCAGCGCTAAGATCGCTTTGTGGAAAGGGACCCAGAATGTCTTGACTGTGCGCCGCCATTTTGTTTGAATGCAAGTGATATAAGAAGTGGAATCTGATTGGTCAATAGGAGGGACATAGAAGGGACATAACTCCACTGGTGGCACTACGATCGAGCCTGGAAATTCCAGCCTAGTTCGTCAAGGTTGGAAACTGGACTTTTTTAATGAATTAACGCCCTTGCCTCGAGAAGATGTAGTTGGATTATCTGTTGGTGTGGGCGGCATAACGAGTTACATGTCAGTAGCGGGTGTACGGGAGTTTTGAGATAGAAGTCTGAAGGTCGAGTAGATGGAGCGGGTGGTATGGCGTTTGAAGTGATGATGGGAGGTAAGCCGAAATGGAAATGTGTGTGTGTTTGCTTGTACTAGTCCTAATTGATGGCGACTTTTATAGCGCAAGCCCACCGAGATACTATGCCGGCATTTAACATAGTTACCCCACATAAACACAGTACACAGTAGACCAGTCTTTTTTCAACCCCATAATGCCCCATAATGCCGCACGACGTGTTTTGGTATAATGCGGCCGGTCGGAAGTGATGAACGGGTAGTTGGAGCGGGTAGTGGGGTGTAGGATCACCAGGTGTTTAGCAGAGAATGGGGACGCGTATATCTATATTTGAACACGGCAGACTCCCATTGATTTGGGAGTCCAGGTGAAACAAGAAAGTCCCCATTTGAAGCCCACTATCACAGTCATCACAATGTAATCTGCCTACAGAGTAAGGACATGCATGGGTTTGTGAGAGGTACATTGGTGTGGCGACACACAGTCGCTGGAGAGTAGAGGGCAGTGGATCCACTGTGAGTGCTTTTATGCTGTCTGTTGTAGCAAATAAGTAGATTAAATACACGGACACCAGCACCTTCATTTGTGGATGTCGAGGTGACACTAACATTCAGCGAGAGAGGAAAGGGTCTACTTGTAGAGAATGTGAAGTACTGGTTTTATTCTCGTTTGAATGAAAGATAGAGTAAGATCTCGACACTCAAAACACGAACGTTTTTTTACACAGAATACCACGCAGTTTATTCATATGTATTATTTTACAGAATACTTTCAATCAAAATGTGGCGTCGACGTGTAGAAACGTAAATTCCATTGTGACGTAATTAGGTCACGTGTTCAGTCTTCAGGCCTTTTTTATAAGTCGATGACTGTCTTTATCATTTACGTGACTGAAATACAGAGGTTTGTCTAAAATAAGAATTTGTTCGCAACACCCTCAACATGCTTAAAGCTATTTCGTAAGAGTAGGGCACGGGTGGCCCAGTTATCTGCGCAGAGTTGCGTCCCTTGGGCACGCCAGAAACCTATGATCGCGGGTTCGAATCCCGGTTCGCGTCGTTTTTTTGTGTCTCGGTTTGTCAGCACCATACCTGTGCTCGTGGGTTTCACCAAAATGATAAACATCTGAGACCTGCATCACTTCGGGCTTTCCTCCCACATTAAGCTGACACACCGTGATATAATTGGAATACTGTTCAAAGCGGCGGTAAATCAACTCACTCACTCACTCGTTGGTAAGATAAAGATACTCAGTCAAATAAATCGCTACCTCTTCATGAAACAATATGGTTTTATGAAAACAATCGCGATTTTAAAATCTGTTCTAACTACTGACATACCCACTTTGTACTGGAGGCTGAATTAAATGTTTGTGTGCTGTTCTTAACGACTCACTCAGCAATATTCCAGCTATATGACGGCGGCCTGTAAATTATCTAGTCAGACCAGTGATTTGTATTGTGAACAACGATTCACGCAGTCGGTGTAGATTGACACACTATTAGCCATTGGGCAGAACTCCCCCTTTCTCACATGTCTTCATGTCAAAACATTGATTCCAGTGAAATTGGCGGAATGCATCGACAAAAAGAAATATTCACAAAGGTTACCCCCAAAATCAATGACAAAATCAACTGCCTTTCAACGTGAAGAAATGCCGCCCTACGGCTCGACAGTTTGTAAAAACATCTAAAAGTGATTACTTTTTATATGGCTATTGGTGGTATCAGGCGACTAGAGTTTCTATTGATGTTTGTAAAAAACACGAACACGAGGTTTATTGTATCACATGACTTTAATCACAACAGACAGGAAAGAATGCAGTCATGAGTTCGTGTCCTTGGCGCAGTCACATGACCAGCGCTGCCTCCAAAAGGCACTGCATTGTATAGTACATCAGTACATCTTGATTCCAAGCATGTCATCAGACACAGATACGAAAAACATTTTGATTTCACCATGTTTATGGAAATCACACAAACACAGCTGTTCCACGGTACTGACATGTCGTTTCCTTAACATAGAGTTTCATTTATCAAAAATAGTATTTCAGATCCGATGTTTAAAGGTCATCAAGCGCTCATTCCGAACGCGGTTTATTCCAAAAAGAGCTTACGATTGTGCTGTTTTTAGCGTCACTTGTTTTATCTCTCATTAGTAATTATAACACTGTCCTGTGCAGAAAGGTACTTCCACTGTGGCATATTTATGTCACGTGTTACTTTGTGTCTGATAACCTTTGGATATCGCTCGCTAGCCTCCTTTAAACAAATTGAATCTTTTTCAGCCAAACATCGTTTCCAGAATCGTAGGTTCTGTCACAATGCCGTCTAATTTGGGATCTAATTAAATTGACATGCAGTATGTTTCAGCTTATACACGTACAGAAAGTATTGATGGCCAGAGTTTACATGTTCATAAACACGACGGACCACTGATGGGCGCTCCTGTACACAGCTCAAATCAGCGGCGGAAGACTTAATAAAAGCGATTCGTAATTCAATGAGTATGACGCAAGCCAAGCCGTGTGTATACTCTGTGCGATCATGGAAACAGTACCGCAACAGAGAGTCATCAAGCAGAACATATTCCAAAGATTAAGGACCCGTGAAGATCCGGGGTAGAATAGGTCTTTAGCAACCCATGCTTGCTGTAAAAGGCGACTAACGGGATCGGATGGCCAGGGTTTGCTAACTTGGTTGATGCATGTCATCGTATCCCAATAGAGTGGATCGATGCTCATGATGTCAATCACTGGATTGTCTGGTCCAGACTCGATTATTTACAGACCGCCGTCATATAGCTGGAATATTGCTGAATGCGGCGATAACAACAAACAAACAAAACAAACAAACAAACAAACAAACAAACCAGAGAGAAAGCAAATACAGCCACCAGCCACCCAGTCTATTCTGCAAGTGTACAATGATGGAACCTATCTCTCCTAATCGTGCTCACCTCACAAACACAGCGTTACATCACCGTCTCCATATCTTTAACATCACAGCAGCCCCATCCTCGTTTATCTAGGGTATTATATCGAGATTCTATTGTGATATATGCCCCAAATTTTCGTTTCGGATGTGATGCCGCAGTTAGTCTTACTTTAGGAAAAAAGTCTTGTCGTCCATGAGCTTGTAATTAACAAGTAATCAAATTACCTCGCCTCGGCATTTATCTTCATTCAAAGTTGCGCCTCGTATGAGCGTTATTCGTTATTCGATGGTGTTTGGGAAAGTTTGCAGTGTTTCGGCGACTATTTTTAGCCTGGTAACGTTTTAGATGACGTTTGCTATTTATTGGTCAAATCCATTTTTCAAGTGTTTAGATTCTGACGTAATGTAGTTAACATTCAAAATGGCGCCCAAGCGAACATTCCAAGGGGAGAGAAGTCTTAATTTATGCTACAGACGTTCAAATTTCTGTTTTAGACGACCCGCAAAAAGGGTACTGATTTCGCCGCTTGTTTTGACTGGACGGTGAGTGTAAGTGTTATGTCACGCGACCCTGACTCAAAACGAGGCTATAGTGGTGCATAAGTCCAGAGAATATAGCATAACATAACGGAGATGCGATACACTGGGTAATCGAGGATGCAGCAGCCCTGGGACGTGTGTCTGTCACACAGCATATCTATTTCGTCAAACCTGAGTTCTTCCAAGATCCTGCGGCCATGCAGGCAATACACCACGTGCAAGTGTCTTCAGTGTGTAGAAGAATGGTGTGGCACTACAACCCCTCTAATATAATGACAACGAAAAAGAAACAACACTTTCAAGGCATTTAACCCGGTGAAAATATGACATACCCGTATCATGCCTATCCTAGCGGAGTCGCATTACACAGCAATTGATCAGTCTAAATCTTATTAAAAAGGGAAATAATAAAACATGAAAATATAATATACAAAACAAAATAATAGCTGAAGAAAGTTAATTACAAATAAATAACAAATAGATAAGTAACTAATAAATAAATAAATAAATAAATAAATAAATAAATAAATAAATAAATAAATAAATAAATAAATAAATAAATAAATAAATAAATAAACTGTCCGTCTACTTATCCAGTCCAGTCTCGTTCCCAAATCAGGGGAAAAATTTATTTTCTACAATCTGTGAATCATTCAATAATGTTATCCAGTATCATCATCATCATCATCATCATCATCATCATCATCATCATCAATACCATCATCATCATCATCATCATCATCATCATCATCATCTGTTAAATAATTGTTTTTCTTTTACCTCACCAACACATTTATTCATTTTTACTCTGTAAGTTTCGCCAACTCAATATATTCCGACGACGTCGCAACTCGAGGAGCCATGGTGACGGAGACGTCACTGCTGATCTTGTCGTTTGGATAGACAACGCGGCCATTAGACTGCATCACAGACGTCCTGGTGCTGTTGAAGGATCTGCTGAAACGATAAGCTCGGACGAAAGCTTTGCCCTTGACGCATGCGCACAGTGCGTATTTGAAGGTTTGTCTGAAGTTCTTTGACATGAAGGCGTAGACGACGGGGTTGACGCAGCTGTTGACGTAGGCCATCAACCAGAAGGCCATGCGCATGAACCTCAGCCAGTCGATGTGGTGATGTCCCAGAACGCCGAACGCAGTGAGCAAGTTGTTGAACATGATGGGGCCCCAGCAGACAGTGAACAACAAGACCACGACCATCAGCATCACGACGACCTGGAACAGCAAGGGCGGACACCTAGGTAGCATCTTAACATGCATCATCTAAAATATTTACCCACGGAGTTACCTGGCTTATTTAACATATGGTTTCAGGTACTGAAAACCTTTAATTATAGGGGTCCATATTAAAAAAATGGGAACCCAACTCCCAATTGTGGGTCTCAGAGAAACGCCAAAAAATGAATATAATACTCAACCAGTGACGCGAGAATTGCGCATGCTAAGAGGGTGTTTGTTAAAAATAGATATGGATTTCCCAAAGTGTTAGCGCTGGAAGGGCGCGAAGCATTCGGCATGTCATAGAGCGACCGTTTTGGGACAACCTTTGTCTAACATTTAATTCCATGTATATTTGAAATTTGAAATTTAAAATTATAATTTCACTCACTCACATATCGGTGTACAAACAAGTGAAACGCATTTGCATGCTTTAAATGTATTTACATAAGAATTGACTTCAATATTTTTTGCTTTTTTGGGTGTATAAACGTAAAACACGGTGTCCATACTGTGTAAATACTCGTAGCAGATTGAAGTGACTTCTTACAAACAAATATGTCAACACTGATAACATCACAGACTGCTTATTTAATCATTAACACACAAAACATGATGGCAACCATACGAAATCGGCGACTATCAATCATCGCAATAATGTAACACAAACTCCGCCCATTCTATTTTCGGCCAATCAGGAAACAATAATCCGTTAGTGGGAGTGGTCTTATATCTATTCGGTGAATGGTTATATAAACACAAAGATATTGCCTGATGAGCCAATCAAAACCGGCGAATCACTTGCGATTTATTTACTTAACACTGTTGTATAGTGATGTATCCGCGAAATACCAGAAATGGACTTCACACATTGTACCCATGGGGGGATTCGAACTCGGGTCTTCGGCTTGACGTGCTGAGGCTTAACCACTAGGCTACCCAGCCACCCCGGTCTGAATAGGAGGAAATCAATATTTAAATTTAATTCACTTGTTTCACTTGTTTACGTCACTATCACAGTACACAACACAATCTGGCAGCGGTCGTAACCCTTACAGAACTGTTGCTCGAAAACAAATTGTAGAAATTATTTCTATACACCATGTAAGCTTTTTATGTACGAACTATATGCGGAGGGATAAGTCGGTATGCGGTCTACACTAAACTCAGGTACAATATCACTACTCCACTGCTCCCTGAAGAAACGTTAGACCCACTGGTACAGTTACTACTTAAATATTGATGCCATGTTGTCATAGAAACAATAATGACATCAACAGTGAATCATTATAGAGTTCTCAATCTCAGTACATTGTTTAAGACAACAGTTACTGATCGCACAATCGTTTCGTTTTTCCTCAAGATTAATGATTAACATTTTTGTTTTGTACAAACCACTAATTAACCTACATTTATATAGTCTCCATTCGTCTTCTACACATGCGACATGCATGGAATTTGTGTTTTATATGCCCGCAATTGCAAGACCCGCATTCCACACCATTTGGGGCGGTGTCAACACTCGAGCTCATTTTTATTTACTGATTGTGTGACGGTAGGGTATCCAATTATATAATGGTTGATCCCTGTTTAACTATCGTTGTTGTCTCAGAGGTGAAACGTGTGATGTTAGATCATTTTCATACACAGTGGAGTCAAGACGTGTCACAGCCTCGCAGTTATACTGGTTCAGGGGGAATACATTGAGATTATATTCTAATTTTAAACTTTTACTTGGTGTTGAATATTAATACGTAGAAAGCGATATCCCCGGATCACACAGGAGAGTATTAGCAAGTTTTAGATGTGGTGTTGTAACGGGGCGTTTTCATGGTGCTATTCTATATTAGCGAGTCTGTCTGATATTACGAATATTTTAGTGTATTTTCCATTTATATAATTGTCTCTCAAAAATACATAAAGGAGTGGCTCAAATTTCATTGTTTTTTTCTGTATACTCAATATTGTTATTGAGGTGAGACTATAATAAACAATCTGTCTGTCTGTCTGTCTGTCTGTCACTGACCTAAACTCGCCAACTACTGATAAATTCTACCTGCCGCTAAGACAGACTTTAGAGCTGAACGATAGGAGCACAATTTGGAAGATAATAGACTACTTTTTACCCATTCATCACACATTATTGATTCTGGTTGTGTGGATAACGTCAATCTCTTCAATTATATGTATCTTATTAACACTGGCGTCATCTGTATCGTTAATATGTCATGCTCCCCAACCGGTCATTCACCTGATGAGGAGGCAAGAAGAAGCTCTGAAACGTGTATGTAAAGTAAACAATTTGTTCACCATACTACAATTTGCTTGTTTACATCCAACCTCTAAATGCCGATAAAACACTGAACTTGAAACGATAATCAAAACATATAACAGACGTTCTGTGTTTTAATCAGTTTAGTTAAAGATATCTATGTTTACCCTGAATGTAAGTCTTGTTTTGCTACAACCTATATCAGGAATGTACGCCCGCAGGTGTATGCACACGTGGTTCCTGATATCTCGGCCACGACGACATTACAATCCATCATCATTACGTCGTTGCCACGACGTTCCTGCTCTGATAAAGAGAAACCAAGAGATGCACACTGTGAGGTGTGGAAAGCAAGTCAGTCTCGGTATTAACAGGTTCTCTGTTTGCTACACTGCAACCAGTAACGACCTGAGCGCCTGTTAAGATCTGTAGACAGAGCCAAGTCAACATTACCACGTGAAGGTAATCACCACTTCTTTTCAAGGTGCTCAACACGAGGAGATCCATTTTTGTGGATCATTATCTAACACGACTGTGGAAACATATTTTATTTGCTTTGTTGACGGCAAAATAAATAAATCTGACAGGTTTTAGATATCTTGTGAGCAATATGTTTTTATTTGGCACATACCTTTCGGAAAGCTGTCGGCATCGTCTCATTATGTCTTATGTCGCTTTGTATGTTTGGATCCTATTGGATTGTCATCAAACACGTGATAAAAACATTCCCAGAAATATCCTGATAGATTCCGCACATACTGAGCATCTGACCAACTCGCCTGAAACTAATCCCTATTTCCTTTTATAAGTAACGATCATAACAGTTCCATGTTACCACAGATGTATGTTACCTGTTACCCCTAAGTAACGTGTGCTATCCTATGTTACTGACATGTTACCGATATGTTGCCAGTCTGTATCCCTTATATATAACATGTAATTCACCTTAAGTGTATGTGTTATTCGATGGATATTACCCTATGAAACCTTAATACATGGATATAAGCTGTATATTACCGGAATGCTACCTTATTACCTGAATATTACCTGTATATTACTTTATGTTACCTTAATACATGGATATTACCTGCATATTACCATATGATACCTTAATACATGGATGTTACCTGCATATTACCATATGATACCTTAATACATGGATATTACCCTATGAAACCTTAATACTTGGATAGAAGCTGTATATTACCGGAATGCTACCTTATTACCTGAATATTACCTGTATATTACTTTATGTTACCTTAATACATGGATATTACCTGCATATTACCATATGATACCTTAATACATGGATATTAGCTGCATATTACCATATGTTACATTAATACATGGATATTAGCTGCATATTACCATATGTTACCTCAATACATGGATATTACCTGCATATTACCATATGTTACCTTAATACATGGATATTACCTGCATATAACCATATGTTACCTTAATACATGGATATTAGCTGCATATTACCATATGTTACCTCAATACATGGATATTACCTGCATATTACCATATGTTACCTTAATACATGGATATTAGCTGTATATTACCGGTATGCTACCTTATTACATGGATATTACCTGAATATTACCTGTACGTTACTTTATTACATGGATATTATCTTATGATACCTTAATACATTGATGTTACCTGCATATTACCTTATGTTACCTTAATACATGGATATTACCTTATGATACCTTAATACATGGATGTTACCTGCATATTACCTTATGATACCTTAAAACATGGATATTAGCTGGATATTACCGGTATGCTACCTTATTACCTGAATATTACCTGCACATTACCTGTATATTACTTTATGTTACCTTAATACATGAATATTACCTGCATATTACCGTATGTTACCTTAATACATGGATATTAGCTGTATATTACCGGTATGCTACCTTATTACGTGGATATTACCTGAATATTACCTGTATGTAACCTTTTTACATGGATATTTCCTGAATATCACCTGTATATTACCTTATTACATGGACATTTCCTGAATATTACCTGTATATTACCTTATTACAAGGACATTTCCTGAATATTACCTGTATGTTACCTTATTACATGGATATTACCTGAATATTACCTGTTTGTTACTTTATTACATGGATATTACCTGAATATTACCTGTATGTAACCTTATTACATGCACAACTATGTACCACACCCCGCGATTCCCCATCTGCACACAACCTCCCGCCCAAACCCTCCAACACCCATCACCATTCCTATCATATCGCATTGCCAAATGTTTCCGTTTCAAATGCACCTGATAATCAGGTGTCGAATGTTCGTTTGAGTATCTCTAAAGTTAAAACCCATATTGGTTGAGCAGCTAATTCCTGTTCTTAACATAAGCATTGGATGATGAGGATAAGGTCTTTCAAAGATGCTTAGTATATTATTTAAAGCTCTTAAACAGCTGAACCGCAGAGCTGGAGATCTGGACGAGTCTTCTTCAGTACTGTCGGAGTGTTACGGAATTGGAAAAACTGCATAAAAACTGCTTTAAGCTCTGAAATTTTGCGGTCGGTGTATATTGTGTCAGGAATTAGCAACAGGTGCGAAGTATTTGGGTATAGTATCACAGTTAATGGCCCTATTAGGATGAACGGAGATCCAGGCAAGTGTCTAGAGCTCGTGAACTTCTCAGACAAGTGTCCTTCATGAGATTATTCAGATGCAA